TTTCTTTTGCACAAAAATCTAGTAATTCCTTCTGTGAATGGGAGTAACTCTCCATAGATCTGAATTTTAAAATAGTTTAGTGCTGTAACCTGCTTTTCTCCCTTGGAGGTATACACTACTGGTCAAAAGTTTTATAACACCCTAGTTTTTCCAGTTATTTGCAATTCAAGTCGTGCAAGTCTAATGAAGAGCCTGAAATGGTACAAAGGTAAGAACTGAACACCCAGAGGTTAAAAAAAAAGATAAAAGATACAAAACACAAGGCCAAGCTCTGTCCATACTACCTCAGGAAAAGATGGTGAGCTTGAAAACATGGAGTGTCCAGCACAGTCTCCAGACTTAAACCCCATCGACCTGGTTTGGGATGAACTGGGCAGAAGAGTGAAAGCCAAGAAACCTACAAGTGCCACACATTTATGGGAACTTCTGCAACAGACTTGGGAAGAACTTTCTGAAGAATATTTGATTTCTGTTGTAAAAAGAACGAACCACGAGTGTGTTCAGCTGTTATATCTGTCAAAGGTGGACACTTTCAGGAATCAAAAGTTTAGAATATGTTTTGGTCAACAGTAAACAGTAAAAAACTAGAAAAAGTGTGGTGTTTTAAAACTTTTGACCGGTAGTGTAGATAGATATACTGTGGAACTTTTTAGACAAAGCAATAACATTTCCAAGAAGATAAGCAGGTGGCGGACCCTCTACTAGAAATGTTACGCAGTGCACCTTTAAGCTATAAGACATGCTACTCTACCCAGCTACTAAGAAGCAATTGCATTTTTTTTTGTTTTGTTTGGGAATTTTACTTGAAAATTGTTCTTCACCAATACAGATTAAGGCTACAAGTTGGGTCACAATTAAGGATGTAATGACATCCAAATTTCATCTCACGGTACGATATTTATTGTAATATTTTGTAGAGACTAACAAAACTGTATAATATTCAACTTTTCCTTTGGTTCTGTCATAAACCAAAGAGTTAAGATTGAGAAGTGCTTATAAGAATTATTTCTTTGTGTAAATTGGACTAAAACAGAGCAAAGGATCATGGTCTATGTAGTTCCTTCTGTTTATTTTAGCTATTATTGCACCATGACAATGAATTTAAGCAAAGACAAAGTTTGATATACTGTGATGGTCCACGATATTATTGTGAGACTTTTGACGATACGATATCACAACATATCAGTTATTGTTACATCCCTAGCCACAATCAAACTGAAATTGCAGTTTGATTATTTGAACAATCTCAAATAGCAAATTAAAATAGCCAAGAGTGCAAACAAAAAGATTCTCTGTAGTTTAGATCTCTGCAAATATATTCTGAAATGCATAGGATTTGTCTATTGGCTTAGCAGTTCATATTTCAGTCTTCTTTCAAATATTACAGTGTGAACTTTGCACCAAATACTAGTAAAACAAAAGACTCACATCTATTTACAATGTCAGAGAATCCCATATTTTACCAAAATGGTGCAGTTTTTTGTGCAGGTTTTTTACATAAAAATCTAGAACATGAATGCTCTCGATTAAATGCTGCAGGTCTCCAGATTGCTGTGATGTCAGTGTCATCTGAAACCCTATAGCATATGGACAATCTTGTGGCCAGGGATTTTTTAAAGTGTTTAATAAACGTAATACAACCTATATAGTGTTGGAGAAATGGTCCCAAACTAGAACCATGTGCACAGAGAGGATGGGGGCTATTAGGGGCTACAGGTAATACAGCTAAGCATGTGCACTCCGAGTAGTAGATTCCTTTATATGTTGGACACTTTATGACCCCCGGCTCTGTCCAGTACTACAGCAGACAGCACACTTTACCCCTCTATGATTTAAGACATAATTTTGTGTTTTTAAACGCACCTAAGTATTCATTGCAGGCAATAAAAGCCACAGCTGATGTAGGAATGTGGTGTCTTTCAAGTTTTATCTGGTGAAAGAGCAGGATCCGGCCATGTGATGTCCCTGCGGAGGCTAATATAGGAAAGTGTTTGACTTATTGGCAAATTAAGGTGAGGAGTCGTGACCCTCGGTGCAGGGCCTGGATGGAGTTTTATCGAGCGTAACCGCAGAAGACAATAAAGTGTGTCTGAAGCAACGTGAGCCCTGATAGGAGGATTAAAGGCTCTCCGGGAGAAGTAGTCATACACTGCTCAGGATAATATATTTGAAATGTATTTGAATGAAAGCACACATCACAGTCCAATGCACCCTATAACTTCCAAATTAGACATAAATTGAAGATACTTACTGTACAAAAGTGGAACTACAAATGTTCCATTACTGTAAAAGGCAATGGTGATACAGATTCAAGACTGTTTAATGAATCACTTTCAAGTGGAGGTGGGCCAAAATGAATATCTCAGTATGTTTTTGGAGTATTACAAAGGCAAGTATCTCAATCCATCATGTGCTAAAAGGTGCCTGTAAGTGTCTTAAATGAGGTTCAAGTATGTTGCACAACACAAGATGTTATACACATTTTGCTTTTTAAATATTCTTTTTGAAAGGCTATAATATACTCCAAAACAATGACACATTTTAAACATGTATTTTTTCCTCTACTAAATATAAATGTTAAAATATAGCTAAATATAAATGGGATATAACAATATCCAAGTCTCACGATACGATATCATCATGGTATGAACCTCATGGTACGAACCTCATGGTATGATATTTTGTGGAGGCAAACAAAACTGTTAATGCTACTTTTTCCTCTTAAAATGCCTTGACAAGACTTAATCCAAAGAACTAAGACATAAAAGTGCTTAGAACAGTTATTTCTTCTTGTAGTCTTCACTGAAAGGTCTATATAGTTCCCTTTGTCTTTTTTTAGCTATTGTTTCACCATAACTCTTAAATTAAGCAAAGAAACTTGATATATTGTGATGGTCCATGGTATTATTGTGAGAAATTTGATGATACGATATCTTTATATTTTGGTTATTGTTACATCCCTAATAAATGTCACTTAAAAGTTTGCTCTGTTAAACTGCAAATCAGTGACCCCAGTGATAGTGAGTGACCTGAATAAAAAAAGATCAATAATTGACACAATAACATCTCATAATATATCTCTACCTATTTCTTACTCATAAGAAATACTATTAAAGGGCCTTTACTGTCTATATTAAAGCCACACACAACGCTGAACCTTGTGTACTCTGGGGGCACTGCCTTACATTTTTGTGCCCTAATATTTCACTAAGCCCGAGCATTTCATTCAGAGATGTACTTTAGATAAGAGCAATAATCTATTTGATGGACGGGCCTGCTGTGTACATATGCTGTGCTTGTGTCGGGATGATAAAGCCAACATGGGCAGGTGTGTTTGCTTAAGATGCACTTGTCAAGAGGGTGACATGCATGTCTGTGTTCATTCAAGTGGGACCCTTATCTGAGGCTGCATGTCCCACTCAGGAGACAAAAGCACTTCCCATGTTTGGATGATTTAGCCGTTTGACAGAGAGAGGACCCCGAGCGCACTCACTAACACGCACACTACTGCTGTCACGATATTAGAATTTCAAACTCCATTTTGACACTAAGGAACTGACTCAATACTCGATACCGTTTACAATACCACAAAGAAGATAAAACATGCTCATTTTTTAGTAACAAAATGGAATTTTCATGTACAAAATAGTTGTACTTTCTTTATGTTACTGTTAGATCTAGTTGTAATAAAGCTCTAGCTCAAATTTTATCCTGTTAATGTGATTTTTTGCAGTAGTGTCAAAATTTGCTTTTGTACAGATTATATGTAGCCTATATGATTTTGTACACTTTTGAAAAGCCTAACACACACAAACACACACTTCACATGAACCATCTGTATTACAGCCACGACCTGCACAAATTTCATGTAGCATTATATCCATCCTGCTGTAAATGCTTGGCACTCTTTCAGGTGAATTTCATGTCTGTGATATTTTAGACTGGCCATATCTCCATACTCATCTCTGGAAGAATGCTTTACTTGTGTTACACATGTTTCCGTTCAGGCCATAAACTACCATTTTAGTACATCTCATTTCATGCAAACACGGACTGTACTTTAAAGTAGACGTAGTGTACTTTGTGGTACTTTGTAATTAATTTTAACATAGGAAAATCACTACTTTATACAGTTTTCAACACATATGGACCTCACGCCACAATAATTAAATAAATAAATAAATACACAACTAGGGGTGTGCAAAAATATTGAAATATCGGTATATAGTATCGTTTAATATGATGATACAGTATTGATATCGTGGGCTGCTGTAGAGTATTTTTTTCTATATTTAACTAAATAATTTTGTTACAGTGCCACAGTTTTGTTGCTTGTTTAGTGAAAGGAAACTCGTTTATGTAACACATTTGACATTTTGACACTGTTTTGATGATTAAAATGTTTGTTTCATATGAACTTTGCACAAGAAGTGGTTTAACAAAGACTTTTAGTATCACAGCCATGATTTAGACTTTATTTTTTATTAAACCGTATCGAATCGATTTGAAATATATGGTACTGAATCAAAAGCTCACTGTATCGAGATATGTATCATATCGTGGCCTCTGTATCGAGATATGTATCGTATCGGCAACTTCTTAATGATACACAGCCCTATACACAACCAGTTTGTTCATTGCTGAGATGAGGATTGAAGATAGATATATATTTAAGCCTTAGCATAGGTGATTTTAGTGTGTAACAGTATAAAGATTATTAAAACATATCTCCTGAACCCCATGCTGATGTTTAAGTTTATTATAAGAGTCCTTTTTTTATTCTTTTGGCAAATAATAAATCACAAATAATATTCAGTAACACTATTTTTCTCATATGACACATGAAATAAAGTTGCATAACATTTAAATGATAGAATTGCAATTACCTAATCGTCTTATTTTCATTTTTGTAGACTTTTACATACGTTTTAAATTTTTGTTTGTTTTTTTCCTGACGCTGGCGATGCGGAAGTGACGCCAAAGCAGGAAGTGGAGCTCGCGTTGCCTTCAGTGCAGCGGGACCGCAATGGGCAGCAGAAGTGTCCGCTGAAAATAAAACTTTCGGGGCGCTCTTTGCCTCTTAAATCACAGCATGAGGGAATCAGCATAGACCAGCTCCTCTGCGCTCAATGTCTTCCCCAAATCGGTGAAAATGACACCGAGGTAAGACACTGTGTTCCTCATGTTGTCAGGCTGTTAGCTCCGCAGCTAGCCGCGTGTAGCTGTCAGTGTGCTGCAGTATTATCGACACAAACTACTATTATAATCTTTATTTTCTTTTTTTATACTCAGATTTTCACTTGGAAAAACCACTGTGCAATAGTCTGTTTCACATGACGATCACATTATATTTATGACAGCTGTAAAGGTGACTAATCCTTGTCTGTGTAGGCTGCTCTTTGCCTCTTTGACCAAATTAATTCTAAATAAAATGTATGTTTCCAGTGTTTATATTGGCTTTATTGTTGTCATTATAAAATCAGTGTGTCGTTTGGATTCCTGACAATTGTTTAAACATACTTTGGAATAACAATAATACATAATATTGATTGTAGGAATTTATCTGGTCACTTTTTGGCCTCACAACAAATAACATTAGGCGTTTTTTGTGTGCAAAACATATCTGTTGAATGTGATCCAGATAATTCTAACTTTTTCCTTTCAAAATAGAAACTACAGTATGTTGGATTAAGGCTGTGCAATTAATCGAATTTTGATTGCGATTTCGATTTGTGTGTCAAACAATTTCCAAACTCATATAATCGAGTTGTAACGATTAAAGCTTAACAAAGTTTATTTATTTATTTATGTATTTATTTAATTTTATATAAATAAGTATATTTATTTGATTTTTAAATATAGAAATTATAGAACAGCTGGATATATAGTTTATTTTGGATACATTTATCTTTTTCAATATCATATTTCATGTTCAAAGTATATTTTATTAATAATTTTATGTTTTATACATCGCAAAACTGCTCTAAGGTACACAGTTTTAGCCTGTATTTATTTTCAATTTAAAAATGTTGCATAAATTATCAGTAACAAAGTGTTTTTTCTGTTGAGAGAGAGATGCTGAAAAAAATAATCGTTTGAATAATCATGATTTCAGTATTGACCAAAATAATCGTGATAACGATTTTTTTCCATAATCGAGCAGCCCTATGCTGGATGTTTTATCTTAATTTACTTTTTTATTACTTTTTATTCAATAGCTTTCCTCCTCCTTAAATATACGCTGCCATGTACTCATTATAAAGGGATAGTCACTTATTCTATATTAATGAAAGACTATTAAACCAGTAATCACAATAAACCTGCTCGAGTCAGGACACTATAATTTAACCGCAGTATGACACAGACTGAGATCACCGCTTTGGTCGGATGTTCAGCTTTGGGACACATCATCCCTCTGCAGGAGACATGTTTGATTAGTCTGTAATAATGGCCCTTAACATGTCTTCACAGGTGGTCTACACCCTATATAGTTAAGTTTACTACCAATAATAACAACACTGTATTTAAATGTCTCTACTTGGATCCTTTGACTCATGTTTGTTCTGGGAAATTTTATGAATCTTTTTGTTCTTCTTTCAGATGACTCATGAGTGGCTTGGACATCTGTGCAGCGGCAGAGAATGAGGCTCACTCAGTCTGACACACCTTTCATTATCTGTATATAGTCTAATATTATTAACTGACATGGCCAATAAATAGTAGTTATGTTTACTGCTTTTTGCACATTCGAAATAAATGCATGAATTTCTAGTTATTCTCTAAACACTGACAATGTCGCTGGGTGAGCAGTCTCAAAAGTGGTTTCCAACCCATGTCCAAGCCACTGTCCTACAAGCCACTGGTTTATCTGCGAAGGGCAAAAATGGCACCAATGATGCCTACACCATTATACAGCTGGGCAAAGAGAAGTACTCGACATCTGTGGCAGAGAAGACGCTTAACCCGGTCTGGAGAGAGGAGGCATCGTTTGAGTTACCCGGACTTTTGGTGGAGGGGAACCCCGAGGTGTACGAACTCGTCCTCATTGTGATGCACCGCTCTCTGGTCGGGATGGACAAGTTCCTGGGGCAAAGGACCATCAATCTCAATGAAATCTTTGACAACAAGGAGCGAAAGAAAATTGAGTGAGTACTGCAGTGTTATAATAACGCAATATAATAACACCATTTTTGTCTGTACAGTGATGCTGACCAATTAAATGCTCTAAAGATTTATGCCACCTTAGACTCCCAAGAGATTTATTAAGGGTACTTACGGAGATACTTTCTTACTTACTTCTTACTAAAAAGTTCTTGTTTTTCCATTTTAAAATATAGGATTATATTTGACAGTTGCTGTTCATTTTTGTTTCATTTTTATCGAGCCTTGACATGCAAAACGGATACTGTGCACTGTGTCATGGACAGCGTATTTGTTTTGATAACATTTCCGTCAGTGACACTGATAAGATTTGAAAAGTTTTCTTTACTTCTAGTACTGCAATAGCACTAGCACTACACTGCATACAATGACAAAAGTGTTGCTTTTATTAACATGTAGTATGACGATGTGCAGATACTGGCTCACAGAAATCTTGTGCAACAATCAATGCTAATGTAGATAGATCTATAGATTTCAAATTGAAACTACATAGGCCTATATATTATTTTGCACAATTAACTTTTGATGATTTTTTTTCTTTTTAAAAACAACAAATTATTTAAATGAACATAAACAAGGCAGATTTTTAACCAGTGCTCTTTAACGCAGTAGGGATGACAATATATCAAATTTTAGTGTTGAGATTATTGTGAGAAGAAAAGTCATGATTTAATAAATATTCACAATTATTGACAAAAGTGAAGTCCTTGATTTTCTTTCATACTAATTCATCATCACTCGTCTTGAATGTGGCTTCAATGTGTCTTATGAAATTAAACTTCCTTAATGCAAAACTGAATTATATGACATTGACATAAAAAAAGCTCTATAAAGTTTTTGAAATGACTCTAACTTTGCTTTTAAAATGGTCACAATTATAATTTTATATCTCTTACGATTTATACTGATTAACCAAATCATCTGGACATCCCTACACCAAAGTCTGAACTCTGCTCCAAACCACATGCTTTTACTGACGTCCTATTGGCTGCAGACCTCTCATTTAACCACTGTAGTACTCTTCCCTCAACACCACTATGAAAACCAACTCGCCTGCAATAACGCTCGGATCAAATAAGTATTAGATTTATGCTTTGTTTACACAAGCACAGACTAAAGAGGAAGTGTCAAACTTAACCAGACAGACATTGTATTTCAATCCTCAGCGTGTGATGGCATGACAAATACATTTAATATCCTCTTTCTATTTTAGACCCTTGTATTTGAACCCTTTGGCGGTGTGACGATACAGCAGTATTTTAGTTTTAATTAGTTCACTGCTGGTTCCATTGTGCCAGATAATTTGAATACCATTTTACATTGTATTGTCTTGCCTTTTGAAGAAGACTTTATTGTGGCGTTTTGAAGGATAAAATTGATCCACCAGACACATTTGCTCAAAGTTATTTGTTTAGAGACTGAAAACTACAGCTTGTATGTCCAGTTAGTGCCAATGCAATATTTCTATCTTGTTGTTTTGGGTTTAGCTATAAAGTGGCTAGCATTGTTGAGAGATTATTTTTAGAGTGATTACTGACGTGTTGACTGCTGCCGTGTGTGCCTAATTAAAACTAGTGGAGCTTGCTGAACATGTCTTGTTAGTCATCACTATAGAAACAGTTGGTTTTACATCCCGTGAATGCATTTAGTGTGTACGCCTTTTACAATAGGCCCTGACCTGCTTCCACCTTTGTTTACCTTACGTTTCAACCATTGAAGTGAACATACTGAATACTAGATAAGAAGGGTTGTGCTATATTTTGTCTTTGTAGTTTGATTGCGATAAAATTCCACACGTTTCAGTAACAAAGAAAAGGTTAAGCTACAAATATTTAAAGGTATGAGGTAGCATTAATATGTATACTGCCTAGAAAGTAGCTATTACTTGGGTGAGGCTTACTCATTTGCATTTTTGTCATAGTCAAACTCAAATAGACAAGACTGTATGTCATGTTGTCACTCCTTTAGTTATTATACTAAACATGCCATGGAGATGAAAGTGAATGACTTTCTGTTGCCCATAGTAAAAGAATGCTGTAGTGAATGGTTGTCTGTCATGTAGGTGTCAGCTCCATCTACCTATTGTGTTACTGTCTCTGCCCCACCCAGAGACACAGGCAGAAAAACACAAAGAATATATATTTACTAGGGCTGCACAGTAGATCACAGTAGTACTGATATTGCAATATTAGCTGATGTTAATTTTCTTTGATAAATGAGAGAGTGGGGTTGGATGGTTGGGGAATAAGTTTCAGGATACTTTCAAATTATGAGTCGAATATACTTAGACTTAGACAAACTTTATTTATCCACAAGGGAAATTATTTGGACACAATAGCTCAAACATCCCAATTAGAGCTGGGTATCATTCAGAAGTTGCCCATACGATAAGCCATGATACGATACATATCTCGATACAGTGAGCTTTCGATTTGATACTATTCAATACGATATATTTAAAAACTATTTGATGCATTTCAGTAAAAAATAAAGGCTAAATCACGGCTGTGATGCTAAAAGTCTTTGTTAAACCACTTCTTCGGCAAAATTCATATGAAACACAAACATTTTAATCATCAAAACTTTGAAATTGTCAAATGTGTTGTATAAACGAGTTTCCTTCCTCTTAACAAGCAACAAAACTGTAGTGCTGTAACAAAATAATTTAGTAAAATATACCAAAACAAACCTCTTGGCGATATATCAATACAGCAGCCCACGATATCGATACTGTAACATCAAATTAAATGATACGATATTTCGATATTTTTGCACACAATCACAATAAATCACAATATAACATAATAACAAAGAGCGAAAATATCAATGGTAATAATAAATTCTAAATAAGTAGCAAAAAAGATTGTAAGAGATAGTTGTCAAATAAGACATAATTATATAAATGTAAATGTACAAGTCAAAATAAAATAGAAAGATAAGTAATAAAATGTAAAATCACAGCTTTATTTAAGAGGTCATAGGAAGATGGTGCAACAATGATATGGTGATCGACAGGACATAGGGTTATCTGTTACATAAGGGAGAGTTTTTGTACAGTTGTAGGGAGTATTATCTGTTACATAAAGGTGAGTTGTTGTGAATATGATACTAATTATATGCTGTTGCTCATATAGTAATCAATATTGCAACAAACTAAATATATTGCAATAACACCAAGGATCTCCATCTGATTAAAATCTGCTGGGTTAGTGTTCCTTTATATATATATATTTTTTTCTATCTTTTTTTTTTTTTTTTTTTTTTTTTCCTTTTTAAAATTAGGCACACACATAGATTGATATTTGATATTTATTTTCTTGTAAAATTCTTTGGGCCAGCTCCAACTTGTCGTCCCAAAAATGAGACTCAGAAGTCGGGGTGACCGGGCCTTTTCTGTGGTTGGCCCCAAACGTTGAAACACTCTCCCCCTCACATTAAGACCATCCCTTCAGTCAATTCTTTTAAGTCTTGTTAAAAAAAACACATTTACTCACTGGCTTTTCACACGGTGTGAGAATTGTGTCGTCCTCTGACTTTTATTGATTTTATTTGCTATTTTTATTTGCTAATTTGAGTATTTTTTTTGTGTTTTTTAAAGTGACTTGCTTTTGTTTATTTTGTGCTTTATTTTATTTAATGTGTTAATTTATATTGTGCCTACTCTGTGCAGAACTTTGGAGTCCTTGTTTTGGTAAAATGTGCCATATAAAAATGGTTGGAGTGGATTTTAACACAAACACCGTATGATGAAAAATTATCCAAATGCGCTTTCTAAATGTAATGTATAATTTAAAGTAATTACAAAATGGCAACGTAAAATGAGTTTAATATTATGAGATTTTTTGGGCTAGTAAATCATCTTATTACACGAGTTTTGGACCAAAATGGAACATCGGCTGAACCAGTCATTTGGAACCGATATCTGATCCACCAAAATATTCAACGTCAATATCTGTTTCCAGTATCACAGTAATATTTTTTGCAGTACACATATGAGAATCTTTTCCATCATGCAGCCCTAATCATTACACTGGAGCGTTTTATTGCACAAAAGGACACTAAAAACAATATTTAAAATCAACTCAATTCACTCGTTCCCATTCAGATGTTATCAGAAGGAGTGTCTATAATTCTTTTGACAGTTAACCTAAATCTCTAAAATGATCCGGTGATGAGGTCTTGGCTACACCCAGGTCTACACGGGGTCACAGACTGAGTCACCATTACATTACATGAGCCGGACTGACCACCACGGTGTTTCTGCTGTTGATTAGGCTGTCCGTGTTTCCACCATACCTCCCCGGTGCCTTCCTCCAGGACAGTGACAATACGTCCTAATCAGCGCAGATTGCTTGTATTTGCAGATGCACCTCGGGGCTGTGCAGTTTCTCAAGCGCCTCTCCCCCCTGTGAATCCTCTGGCTCTTAGCTCATTGGTTAAACCCACTCTGACAATGCAGCTAGACCCTTGATACTGTATCTAGAGTCCGTATTAGCAGGTCACCGTGGCCCGTTGCGGCGATATTGAACCTTTCGGAGGAGGAGGCCTGATATCCGAGCAGGCAGGCGGGCTAATTATCGCGCACCTGTGTTTGTTGATTGTGCGGAGTTTCCCAGCGGTCCCGGGAAGAGAGGGGGGAGGTCGGAGGGAGGTTTGTCTTGGCCTTGAGCTCAGATACAAGAGAGGAGCAGGTCGGGGTCCAGAGGAAGAGCAGAAGAGAGAGAAAGGAGGAGAGGAGAGGGAGGAGCAGAGCAGAGAGGAGAGCAGAGACAACGAGAGAAGAGACGGAGGAGGGAGGAGAGCAGAGGAGGGAGAGGAGAGAGAGAGGAACAGAGGAGGGAGGAAGAGGGAGAAGAGCAGAGGAAAGCAGAGGAGCAGAGGAGCAGAGGAGAAAGAGAAGCGGAGGAGAGGAACAGAGGAGAGAGAGGAACAGAGGAGGGAGAAGAGGAGTGGAGGGAGAAGAAGAGAGAGGAGGAGAGGAGCAAAGGAGAGGAGTAGAGAAGAGGAGAGGGGAGAGAGGAACAGAGGAAAGAGAAAAGAAGAGGGGAGGAGAAAGAGAAAAGAAGAGGGGAGGAGAAAGAGGAGAGAGGAGCAGCTGAGAGGAAGAGAGGAGCAGAGTAGAGGAGGAGAGTAACAGAAGAGAGAGGAGCAGAGGAGAAGACAAGCAGAAGAGAGGAGCAAAGGAGAGGAGCAGAGGGCCTGTCAGGAGCGGGACATTGAGGAGGGAGTGAACTGGATATAGCTCTAGACAGATGACAGGATTAAAAAAAGTCTTCTATTTGACCACTTTGATTCTATTAGATTACAGAAAAAAGAACAAATTAAAATGATGCTTTATATGTTATAATAAAACACAGCCTTGGTTCAAAGTGTAAGCTGTATGCTAGTAATAAAGTAATTTGATTTTCCTCTGACGTAACTGTTCTATGTAGGACAGGAGCATAATATTGGCGCATCAAAAGACTGACCCACCCTTTGTCTCTCCACTGGACGATATGTAACTGGACAACAGCAATGTCATAACTGCAAACCTCAATAAATATTACATGACGTAGGGCTGTGCAGTTCATTGAATTTAAAAGGTCCTATATTATGTAAAATGTACCATTGTGAGCTTTTAGCCACATTAGAATGTTGAGTTGTGTTTTCGTTTAATTCACACATATTTGAGTATCCCTCTATTATTAGTCTGTCTACATCTCCAAAACTCAAAATGCTCTTACACCTTGTGATGTCATGAAGCTGTAGTTTTACAAGTTAACAGCTACTGTACCTTTTACCTTTTGTTTAGTAGAGAGAGGCAATTGCATGGCTGAAATTACCCAATTATTCACCTAGTGCCTTCGCTCAATTTCATTTCTCTCCAGTGACTAGTTTAGGAATCGGAATACACTAGAACAGGCATGTCCAAACTATGACCCGTGGGCCTAATGCGGCCCTCAGACAATTTTTTTTGGCCCTGTGGCTTTCAGGTGAATTGGCCCACATGACCTTGCATCAATGAAAAATTTACTTTTTACATATTTCAATTATTCAATGTATTGAGCACCAGACTACAGCCCTCGATCAGCCCTCTGCATCATCTGTGTTTAGATATGATAAAAAAAAGTTTGGAAGTTGTAGACCGCACACCGGCCAATCAGCGAAGAGCTCTGAAACCATGACAGGGTCTCTTTTGTGGTACAGCACAACAGTCAACAAAGCAGTCAAGATGGATGTAGACAAAGCCATGCATTCTGTGTTGGCAACGAGATTCTCGAAATCGAGGATTTAAAGCCGGAACAAAGAGAATGTTTGGTGAATTTTATCAAAGGAAAAGACGTTATTGCCCTTTTTCTTATGGGATTTGAAAAAAGTTTAATATAACAGTCATCCCCGTTAGCAGTGCATTACATACGTCACGACCAAATAGCAGTGATTGGTTAAATAAAAAAAGTACCCATCTACCGTCAAGTGAAGGAATCCTAATGATACGAGGTCAGAGGTCTAATGAATCAGGCTAGTTTAATTGTCACTGACTTTGACTTTTGAAATGTGTGGCTTTTGATAAAATAAAATAAAATTCTGATTAACATTGGGTTAATAAAAGGTTATATCATCCAATCCTAATATGAAGTACAACATCAAAAAGTATATTTAAAAACAAAAGTACTCCTCAAACCTATTTCTGCACCTTAATTATAATTCCTAAAGCTGAGTTTGGTGCTTGTTTCTTTGGACCCCTCCTGGTCTGTTACCGGGGCCGCTCTCATTAGCATGTATGAACGGTTGGTGAGCCCCGCGCTGTGGCTTTGCAGTTTCCCAATTGCTTGTCATTGCGTTTCTGAACAAAGGCCAGATTTGTGCAAATGCCACTTTATTTTGCTCACAGTGAAGGCACAAATCCCATTACTCTCAGCTGAAAAAGCACAGGTTAAACAAATAAATGCCAAAAGCGCTCTGAAATAGTCTATATTATTGCGCAGGAGGCTATTTCCTATGTTCAGTTTTGCAAAGAATAATGTTTATCCTGTGAATAATAAATAGCATTCTCACTAGTAAAAAGTCAAATGATTTAAGCTGCTGCGTTTGTGGATTAGTCTGCTCAAATTAGACCTTTCAGTGTTGCCCACAAAGAAGTAGGCAGCGCACATTAGAGAGAATTTGGGTTATTTTCACCATTTGTCATATTGTTTGATGGTCTTTTAGCGGATTTGCCTGGGCTTTTCATGAATTATGTTAGTTTTAGATAAATGACCCTGTTACAAGCCGCCAAAGACATGGATGGTAGAAGGAAAAATGTCAGTGTATAATTGTATATCATTTATAAAATACTGAAAAAAGCTGATCCAAAATGAAAAACAAATAATGCATGTTATGAACTTCGTAATTTCCTTACTTCACATACACTGCCAGTCAAAAGTTTGGACTCACCTCTCATTCAGCCTTTTTTTCTGTGTTGTTTACTACTTTCTACATTTGACATACATATAGAAGACATCAAAAATATGAAGTATATGATGTATGGAATCATGTAGTAAATAAAAACAAAGTAAATAGCTTCTAAGTAAATAAATATGTAGCCACCTTTTTCTTTATATCTATCTTGCTTCATATATTTGATGTCTTCTGTATCTAAGGGCCTGTTTATACGAGAACGCTTGTGGGTAAAAATGTCAAAATATTTTATCAGAAGTGCCTTTTGTTTAGACAGTGATGGCGTTTTTGGGGCTTAAAAACGCAAAAATCTGACCCCATCCTCCAGAGTGGAAAAGTTGAATGCGCTCCACTGTAGTGTTTCCGTCTACACTGCCCAAGATACAAAACTCTGGTCAGATCTGCTCACGTCACGTACACGTTTACGTCATATACACGTTTACATCACATACATGTTTACGTCACATACACGTTTACGTCACATACATCACCACCTAATGTCACCACCGGGCCACCTGGCATGCATACCCACTCACACACTTTTGCGTCACGGTATGCATGCAGATTTCCTCCTGAAAACGCTCATCTAAATGCAGAATAAAAAGTGAAGATGTGCCACCACTTCGTCTTCTGTTCAGACGTCGTCATATAAACGTAGCCAAAAATGTAGAAAACATTTAGAAAAAAACACTGAATGAGGGTGAATCCAAACGTCTGACTTGTAGTGTACCACATTTCATAAACGTTTTAATATTGTCTGAATAATAGTTTACTCACAAAAATATACAGATTAATTTTTGTCAATATTGCATGCCACCACTACTAATTATTAAAACTCATTGCAATCTCATGTGTTTTCCTTGTAGTTGGTACCCACTGGAGTCCAAACCAGGCGCCAAGAAGAAGGAGCGTGGCCGGATCCAGGTAAGGTTGTCAAGATCTAATCAATAATCATGATTGTTGAGGCGAAAATATAATATAGAAATTAAAAAATAAGTAAACATAACAACTGTAGAAAGTTATTGCAATTCAGCCTACTCTCAAAAACCTTTTTATATAGCTGTTTCATTTAAAAAGTTAGATTTCTTAAAGCTGGTTGCAAATTAGATGACAACAATGAAAGAGAAAGTTAAAAAAATATAGACAAATTTGACTTGTTTATGCTGTCAATAATGTGAATAATCATTAAATTGTGATATTTCTTAACTATAATCTTAAATTTGATATCATGCCCTTCCTTCTGTACATCCAGGTCAGTATCCAGTTCATGAGGAACAACATGACGGCCAGCATGTTCGACCTGTCCATGAAGGAGAAGCCGCGCTCGCCCTTTTTTAAGCTCAAGAACAAGGTCAAAGGTCGCAAACATGACAGTGGCTTCTCCGACACTTCCTCTGCCATCCTGCCCCGCTCTGCCCTGGACTCGGAGCCCAGAGCGCCCGTGGGCCCTCCCTCCGCCCCGGCAGCAGGAGGAAGATCTGAGCCCAAAGTGAAGAGGCCTCTTTTGGCTGGAGGTCAAAAACTGTCCGCGGCTCACTCCATGTCGGATCTGATCGGGAACAACTTCAGGCCCAAACTGGACTCCATGAACTCCATAGAAGAGACTGGAGGTGGGGAGATCAGATTGTGTTTTGCTTTGCTCTTTTACATCACCAAGCCAAGTTCATTACAGTATTATAATGGTAATAATCCAAACAATTTATATAGAGCTTATTGTATCAGAATCAGAATTACTTTCATTCATCTCCAAAGGGAAATACAGACGTGCATCCAACCAGAAAAAGAATAGAGTTAAGAAATTTAAAATATTATTAGTGTAAATAAAATAAATACACTAATCTTCATCAACTACACCCCAGTTAAAATAAAATAAACATGCATTTAATCTGGACACTTGTGTAAGAAATAAAGCCTGTGGACTATGTAATAACTGCAAGACCATATATCAAATGTGGACATGGTTTGACATAAATCTGAATGAAGGTCATAATAATTCAAAGGCATTAGAAAGAGGAGTAGAGATGTGGTTCATATTTTCCTTGGAGCCCACAGTGCTGTGCTCAAAACAAGACCACCAGCCTTACCCCTGTCTATCAGAAGAAAAATGTTGGTTATGAAAAAAATCCCTTTTCCTATTCCCATTCTTTTTGCTTGCTATTACACATGTGAGATCGTAAAGTACAGCATTGCTCATTAAATATGTCAAAAACTGCTTCGTTGCAATCTGCTTCGTGCATCCCGTTGAATTTGTAGTCCCGCTTGTCTCCATAGGGATGTGAATATTTAACCTGCAGTGGTCCACTTTATGACATTAAACTCCGCTAGCTCCAAAGAGTTACAGATCAGATTTGTTGTTTAATTCCATACTGCCATTTAATGCCATACTGAGGAACATTCCAGGCAAAGCAATAAGAAATCCATGGATACGAGCAGTTGACAGACTCACTGCTAGAAAACTTACACAGAGCATCTTTAATAATTGGTAACATTTTACATTTAGAATTTGTACTTGTGTCTAATTTTACATGGCAGCTTCTTTACTCTTTATTAGATTCTATCAGATTTCTTATATCTTATGCTCGTAAACGTCCTTTGCCTCAGGAGATATTCTATAATCAGACTTTCCGGCGTCATGGAAATCCCGGAAAAGTCATGGAAATTGAAAATGTCATTTTCCAGGCCTGGAAAAGTCATGGAATTTTAGTATCTCTTTCACACAAATACATCATTCTGTTAAGTTATTATTAGGTTATTATGATTATTTCCGAATGTCTGCGCCTTTTGTTTAATAAAAGACGACAGTAAATGCACTAACAGTATTTTGAATGTTAAAAAAACTACAATACCAAACCATAATGTGAGTGGAAAAGGAAACATTTCATATTTAACCCTAAAAGTATGCTCAATTCTACACCGTAAAATCATGGAAAATTCACTTTTGGTCATGAAAAAGTGATGGAAAAATTTTGAAATTTTGTCAGTAAAAAAGAGTGGAAACCCTGTATAATGTAGTTCACCACAAGTGCTTTGAGGATCTTGAAAGGTGCTTTAAAAATCTTAATACATTATTATTACGTGCATCTGATATAACTCCTGTATCTTGTGTTTGTTCATAGGCAGCTCAGGTCCTCACCGGCGTACCCAGAGCGAGGTGCCAGACTTCCAGGACAGAGAGGGCCAAGTTGACCCTTTCACTCATATCACGGACGCTCTGCCACAGAAGTATGCCACGCTCCCACGCAAAGGCAACCCGTTTGAAGGCGAGGGGGGCGGGCCGCAGCTGTGGGACCGGCCCAGCAAGGAGAAGAAGGAGAAGGTCAGTCTGCTGGAGAGAGTGACCGGGAAGAAAGAGGGGAAGAAGACGAGCAGCAGCAGCTCCAACGGGGGAAAACTGGGGAGCACCGGAGACCTGCGCACCCCAAACCCCTTCACCAACAACGGGCAGCAGGCAGACACCAACCCCTTCAGCTCCAACTTCAAACCAAGGTGCTGTGTTTAGTTAAGACACAGATAATCACTCTCACTCACACTGTATATTTGTTAATATTTTGAGTTAAAGTCATAATGTCAACCCTTTTGTCAAGCTCAATAATAAATCTTACATTTTACAAATCAAATAGAATAACATTTAATAAATATTCAGGATAATTATAGAAACAGAACACATTTACAACTATTTCAATTTGAGTCTAATATTATTTTTTTATATTGACATAGCAAAAACATTGGATTAGACACCTGTACAAGGGGGCTAGAAACCAATTTAAATAAATAAATAAATAAGCAATTGCACCAGATTATAAGGTGCAATATCAACAATGTTGAATTCTCTCATCTATTTTCATTCTTAAGGTGCACTGGATTGTAAGGCACATTAAGTGAAACAAACAAACGACACTTGAGACAGATCCCTTAGCCCAGGCATCCACGATCCATTGGCAGATCGTGGTGTAATTCGCCGGGCGTTTCCTCCCTGTCTTGGTGAATTTGTATTATGAACGTGAATGTGGGTGGACCATTTGAGTTTGTTTTTTTATTTCCAAGGAGGACTCAAATATACACTGAGTAATAATGTGTTTAATGCAGCTTTGCGCACATTTGTTTACGTTTTATAGAAATTAAACTTAAAACCACATGGCTCATTTGCATAAACTGTAAGATCTAAAAAAAAAAAAAAAAAACAGCTCTCTTCTTGTGCGCTGATGTGGTCAGAGGCTCCTGACTACAGAAGCCGTAATGCTCTGACAGTCCATCAAGTGATGCGGTTTCGTAGTTTACCAAAGTCGTACTAAAACATTTTGACCGATTTTTGAGCACCGTGTACCACATAAAATTGGGTCGAGGTCAGTAAGCACAACCACAATTAATATATAAGGCACACCGGATTATAAGGCGCACTGTTGATTTTTTTAAAAATTACAGGATTTGAAGTGCGCCTTATAGTCTGAAAAATATGGTAGTTTAACTTACTGCACATACTGCATTACATACTCTAAAATATTCTAAACATTTCCTTTTTTATATTTCAATTCTTATATTATGCAACCCCACACAGAGCTCCCATATTTACCACAGCTTTTCCAGCTCAAATGTCCAAGAGTAGTTGTTGCCTCCCTGTGGGGCGACCCTAGCCCAGGGGCACACTCCTGACAGCGCTGGTGAAGTCTCAAATACCTCGCTGATTGATATCTGCACCCGGGGCCCTGGCACGTCGACTGTTACTGTTAGAGCAGTTGTGATGAGCTGGTGCCCTGTATTTCCTGTGTATTTCCTGTGTATTTTCGGGAAGACTTGGTGTGGCTAAGTTGTGCTTTATCAGCGTGGAGGTGTCATTAGAGGGTCTTTAGAGGGTCCGGCTCGATAAGGAGGCCCTCTGAGCTGCAGTAATGAGATCCACAGAGCGATAGACCACACAATTAAGCACTTATCTGTGAGCGCTTCAGTCCATCATCTGCTGCTGCCTCTGCATACAGCCACACTCTTGACACTTACAACATGGGAACGGCATGAATCTGGAGTTAGAATAGGTTTATGTGCTAAAGGTGCACTATGTAACATTTCTGGTGGAGGGTGTGCCGCTTCCTTGTCTCCATGGAGATGTTATTGCTCTGCCAGGAATGTTTCACAGTATGGCGTTAAATTAGGGCTGGGTATCATTAAGAAGTTGCCGATACGAGACATACCTTGATACAGTGCGCTTTTGATTCAATATATTTTTAATTGATCCGATACGGTTCAGTAAGAAATAAAGGCTAAATCATGGCTGTGATAGTAAAAGTCTTTGTTAAATCAATTTTTGCGCAAAGTGAATATGAAACACAAACATTTTAAATCATCAAAACAGTGACAATGTCAAATGTGTCACATAAATTAGTGTCCTTCCTCTAAACAAGCAACAAAACTGTAGCACTGTAATAAAATAATTTAGTAAACTATACCAAAAAACACTCTTGGCGATATGTCAATACAGCAGCCCATGATATTGATACTGTATCATCTCATTAGGTACGATATATCGATATTTTGACTTTTTTCCATATCCCTACATTTCAGTACATTCAGTACATGTGTTTTGTAGCTAAAAAATACTTTAAAAACACACTCACATCTTACTATGAGCTGCGTCACCTCCTCACAGATCTGACTTGTAACTTGGTATGTTGCATCACTTGCTTGTCTCCATGGATATAAATACTTCTAATGCCTTAATGTGGATTATTCCAGACAAAACGCTTATATCTCTGTAAGGACAAGCAGGTGTGGATACTCCCTCAAAAGAGTTATGTAGTGCACCTTTAGATAAAATCAAAATGAAATGATAAGTCTTGTTAAAAAAATTAAATGGCAGACAGCAGCTTAACATGCTTATAGTTCCCAAGGCTTAATAACTTCTAGGGATGTAACGATACCCAAATCTCATGGTACGATATTTTCACAATATACATCTCACGGTACGGTATTTATAGCGATATTTTGTAGAGGCTGTGAAAATGCCTTGACAAGACTTAATGAACTTAACTTAAAGAACTAAGACTTAAAAGTGCTTAGAACTGTTATTTCTTCATGTAGTTTGCACCAAAATAGAGCAAAGGATCATGTAGTTCCCTCGATGTAGTTCCCTCTGTTTTTTTAGCTATCTTTGCACCATAACAATGAATTTACGCAATGAAACTTGTGATTCGATATATTGTGATGGTCCACGATATTATTGAGAGACTTTTGACGATACGATATCACGATATTTTGGTTATTGTTACATCCCTAATAACTTCCTTTGCTGATATTGTTAATTGCTTTGAACACATATTTTATGGCAATTCCTTATGCAGAATTTGTTTATTAAATGAGTTGCTTTATTAACCAATTATTGTCAAACTTTTAACCGCCATCTTTAATCTCTATCGATAATGTTCTCAGGTTGTACTAAACGCTCTTTTTTTATACAGCACTACATTATTCATGAGAGCAGTAAACGCTTTCATAAATACAGACATCAGCTCTGAGTGTATTAACTTTATTTTCAAGTTCTAAAGTTTACTCCACTAATTTTACACTGTTGTGATATTACAGTGACAGGAAATCCACCGGAAGTGAAGACGGTACATTTGGACAAAAGAAAGACAATCAAGACAAGATGAGAAAAGTAAGTTTAACTCGGTTTGACCCTCCTCATTAAAACATATTGTTACAGCTTCCCTTATTTACTTGACAACTGATTGAGAAAAACCCACACTGACCTCCTGTAGTCACTCTTATGTCATTACATCAAGAATGTTTTTAATTGCGGAGTTTATTTGACATGAGCATCTGGCAACACTGATCTTTTTTAGGCCTTTGAAAACTCCGGCTGCACTAATTAGCCGCGCTTTGGTGCTGCCTGATTCGATTGTGCTGTGAAACAGTGTTAAGTCTGGGTGAAAAAAACGCTTAAAAATGACAACTTTTGATAATTATATACGACTTAGGTAATTGTTCTTAATAGTCCAAAGTGTTGTTTCAAATTAGAAGCAAGATTTTGGCAGCTTTAACGCAGCAAATCCGGCGGTTACCAGTTCGCGCTTAGTCGTAGTGATGGTTAAATGAGAAGTGGAGCGGCGATAATGGTTTTCCGCACCTTTTCTTTGTGGCTGACGCAAACCGAACGCGCTATACAACGCCCCGCACCAACAGCAGCAGCGACTTCTGGAGGCTTCAAGGCCCCAATTAACCACATACAGGGAGGACGGGGGGAGAGAGGGAGAGAAAGAGAGGGAGAGAAACAGAAGGAGAGAAATTAAGAGTGGGAAGGAGATAGGGAAGGAGAGAGAGAAGGAGAGAGATTGACAGAGAGGGAAGGAGATGGGAAGAGAAAGACAGGGGGAAATAGAGAAACAGAGGGAGGGAGAGATACAAGGAAGGAGGGAGCGAGAAAGGGGGGAGAAGAGAGAGAAAGAGAGGGAGGGAGAGCCAGAAGGAGAGAGACCTAGAGGGAGGGAAGGAGAGGATGGGAGAGACAGAAGGAAGGCGAGTAAGAGAGTGGGAAGGAGATAGGGAGGGAAAGAGAGGAAGGGAGAGACAGAAGGAGGGAGAGAGAGAGAGAGAGAGAGACAGAAGGAGAGAGAGAGACAGAAAGAGGGAGACTTAGAGAGTGGGAAGGAGAGAAAGAGAGGGAGTTAGAGACAGACGGAGAGAAACCGAGAGAGTGGGAAGGAGATAGGGAGGGAAGGAGAGGAAGGGAGAGACAGAAGGAGGGTGAGTAAGGGAGAGGGAAGGAGATAGGGAGGGAAAGAGAGAAAGGGAGAGACAGAAGGCGGAAGCAACAAGGAGGGAGAGATGAGAGAGAGAGACGGAAGGAGGGAGAGACGGAAGGAGAGAGAGAGATAGAAGGAGAGAGTGAGAGAAGGCGAAAGAGAGACAGAAGGAGAGAGACCGAGAGTGGGGAGGAGATAGGAAGTGAAAGAAAGGGAAGGATATAGGGAGGGAGAGAGAGACAGAAGAAAAGAGACCAAAAGAGTGGGAAGGATATACAGAGGGAAAGAGAGGGAAGGAGCTAAAGATAGGGAGGGAGTGAGAGAGGAGGAAGGAGAGAGAAAGAAAGAGGGAGAGACAGAAGGAGGGAGAGACAGAGTGAGAGAAGGAGATCGGGAGGGAAAGAGAGGGGGAAGGAGAGAGAAAGAGAGAGAGGGAGAGATGGAAGGAGAGAGACTGAGAGAGACGGAAGGATATAGGGAGGAAAAGAGAGAGGGAGGGAGAGATAGAAGGAGGGAGTGAGAAAGAAGGAGGAAAAGAGGGGGATGGACAGAGAAAGAGAGGGAGGGATAGACAAAAGGAAGGAGAGACAGAAGGAGAGAAAGAGGGAAGAGGGGAAGGAGGGTGGAGAAAGGAAGAGAGGGAGACACGGAGAGAGAACTGAAATAACAGCATAATAATAAAAAAATAAAAAAAAGCTTTAAACACATTTAAACACAAAAACTGAAAATTTGTAAATTAACATGAGCATCAATATGTAGCACTATGAAGATATTTTCTGCACATAATAACCAATTACACAAAATAGTTACATAAAAAATATTTTCAACATTTTTCTTGATTATAAATCATCATTACAGCTGCTTCACCCAGTATTTTTCACTTATATTTATAAATTCAGTTTTCTTCCAAAATGTATTGTAAAGACAGAACTTTGTGACAGAAATCAGACCGCTGCACTTTGCCTTCATCTAATTATAAAACATTTCCTTTTGCAAACTTGTAAGAAAGAGCCATTTGCGTCACCATATGACGTGTTGCGATGCGAGCTGAGTGGCTGTGCCAGGGTGAGAGCGAGACACGAGTTACACAGATTTAAATACATACTTTCTCCTTTCACAATTTGAAAATCAGGTACTTTGGCTTTAAAGCGAGTTTAGGTATCTGCTTCCCCTAAAACATAGTTGCACACTTGCCAATTTCTTCCTGTAGCTAACTTTGCAGCCATCTCACTTCTACATTACAGCCCATTGGTCAGACTAGGGTCAGTCCGGGGCCAATAACCCTGATAAGTCCCTAATTAAAGACTTGAGGCCGGCTCTTTAAATGAATGGGTGACATCACAGCCTCCACAGCGGCTGGTGTGTGCGGTCTGCAGTCCTACACTATATCACGTTCCCTCTGGCTCTGCTCGTTTTGTTCAGAATCAGTGACTGGGCTCTGTTCTTCAGACCCTCCTCACATGGGGCATTTAATCTCACTGGAAAATATTTCATTTCACCTCACACACACACTGACACACACACACACTGACACACACGCATACACACGCCTGTACATGTGTCTAGTGGAGTGATTTCATAGACTGCATTCATTTTTGAAGCCTAAACCTGCCCTACATCAGACTTATATGAACTAAATTTAACTAAACTGAACATACTGAGACAAAAGGGACTTAAGTGGTGTTATACCTAGTTTTATCACTAGAGACACTTCATTCATTTCGTCTTGTGAATTAAATATGTTAATTTTGGTAGAAATGCGCTGATCCAGCTTTTTCAGTTCCGATACTGATACTGATACTATGACTTTGTGCAGCTTTGTATAAATAAAAGTTCAAACATTAAATGTCCTGGGCCTATATCAGTCAATACTAGGGCTGTGCAAAGATATTGAAATATCGATATAGTTTAATGTGATGATACAGTATCAGTATCGTTGGCTGCTGTATACATCTGCCAAGAGTGTTTTTTGATATATTTTACTAAATTATCTTGTTACAGCGCTACAGTTTTGTTGCTTGTTCAGAGGAAGGAAACTCGTTTATGTGACACATTTGACATTTTCACTGTTTTGATGATTAAAATGTTTGTGTTTCATATTCACTTTGCTCAAGAAGTGGTTTAACAAAGACTTTTGGTATCACAGCCATGATTTAGCCTTTATTTTTATTGAACCGTATCAAATTGATTTGAAATATATTGTATCAAATCGAAAGTGCACTGTATCGAGATATGTATCGTATCGGCAACTTCTTAATGATACTCAGCCAATACATAGTCTCATTACAGCCAGTTGAAGGCCCAACCAGGATATCGACTGGATCAATATCATGAAACCGATACCTGATCTAGTATCAAGTTTTCAGTATTCACATTTTACTAACAGTATCGGTATCGGTGCATCCTTCGGTTATGGTCACTCGGTGAGCCCCAAGGCAGCTGTGGCTTGTTGCTACTAATGAATACTTGTGACTTTGAGAAGCTTGCCCAGAGAGTTTAAGACCATGTAAATCCAAACCATTATTAGCACTTGTCATTGAGATAAATTTAATTTAATTTTCATAAAGGTTTAAGTAACTTTTCCGGTGGAGAGTTCATTACCCACTTGGGCTGGGTATTGTTAAGAAGTTGCCGATACAATACATACCTTGATACAGTGCACTTTCAGGTCGATACGATATATTTCAAATCATTTCGATATGGCTCAGTAAAAAAAAAAAAATGTCTGTAATACTAAAAGTCTTTGCGAAACCACTTCTTGTGCAAAGTGAATATGAAACATGCACATTTTAGTCATCAAAACAGTAAAAAATGTCAAATGTCAAATCAATTGCATAAATGAGTTTCCTTCCTCTAAACAAGCAACAAAACTGTAGCGCTGTAACAAAACAATTTAGTAAAATATACCAAAAAATACTCTTGGTGATATACCAATACAGCAGCCCAGAATATCGATATTGTATCATCACATTAAACAATACGGTACATTGATATTTTGATATTTTTGCACACCCCTATTACCCACTACAAGCTGATGACTCGTACTGTAGTAGTAATTTTCCAGCTATAACATTTCCTTGGTGAATCCCTGTAACACAAAAGTTATGCAGTGTACGTTTAACGATACTTACAGTACTATGCTATTATGCTTTTGCTATGACCTTAACCGATCTGACAGTCGTACCCGCTGTAGTTTCACATAAGGAGAAATGATCCCTGAAAGTACAAATCTAAAGTCCCCACATGAGTACAAACACGCACACGTACACAGTAGCCTTGTGGTTGTCGGGGGCGATTAGATTAAACCAGGTAAAGCATTGTCTTTGGCCAGCACTGAGTCCGGGTGCTGTGGGAGTGGACGATGATAAGAGTGGTATTTTGAAGAGGGGGAGGAAGCTGATAAAGTGGCCCTCATTAAAAACCATTACAGCTCCTCTCACAGCCGAGCAATACAATCTGCACAAACTGTACCACGCTGCTCAAAACAGGAGGCAGAGGGCATGCGGAGGATCGGGTTACATGTGAGCATTTTTCATCGTGACCTGTAATGGGGAGAGAGATGGTCACTATGATAACAAAATACTTTCTTTTTTCCTCATAATGATCAATAGAGGTGTGCAAAAATATTGAAATATCATTGTATTGTATTGTTTAATTTGATGATACAGTATTGATATCGTGGGCTGCTGTATCTATATATCTCCAACAGTATTTTTTGGTATGTTTTACTAAATTATTTTGTGAAAGAGCCACAGTTGTGTTGCTTGTTTGTAGAAAGGAAACTTGTTTATGCGACACATTTGACATTTTCACTGTTTTGATAATGAAAATGGGCCTTTTTCATATTAACTTCACACAAAACTTTGTGATTTAATAAAGGCGTTTAGTGTCACAGCCTTGAGTTAGTCTGGCAGTATCTTTTTGGTATGTTTTTTTATTGAACCGTACCAAAAAGATTTGAAATATATAAAATCTTATTGAATTGAAATTACACTGTATTGAAAACTAAATCGTATCGTGGCCCATGTATCGAGGTATATATTGTATCGGCAACTTCTTAATGATGCCCAGCCCTCTTGATCAATCCCAATTTTTGTTTAGTTGAGTATTCATTTCTCAAGAATTATGTACAAATGAATTAATCTTAAAAAAAAAGGTCATCTGCAGGTCATACGCATGGTGTGGTGGTGAATTACTTGGCGGTGCATAGACCTCGGTGCAGATCCATAAATCAGAAACGACCATGACAAAGCGATGGCGGCATTGTGCATTGAGTCGACACAGAACTCTACTTTGCCCTTAACTATTCAAATAAAAAACATGGAACTTGACGATCAATTGGCGGAAGGTGGGCGGATGCGGTTTTGAAAACTGGTCAGGTAGCCGCGAGGTCTTAAAAGACTTAAAAAGGTCTTAGATTTTATGTTCCTAAATTAAGGCCTTAAAAAGTCTTAAATTATGTTGTCCAAGTCTTATGTTTTTTTTCACAAAGGTCTTAATTTTTATTAGCCTATTTTTTTGTATATTCAACTGGGCTGCAGTGCAATGTTAAATGTAGGGAGGAAAAAAACAACGTGAAATCACATAAGGTGCGCAAAAAATACTTTGGTTTCTGGTGCTGGCGGCAATGAGTAAACAGTCAGTAGAGTGGAGGAAGACATTGGATGGATCTTGGGGAAGTGTAGGTGTAATCCACAGTGGCTCTTAGATTCTAGATATAGTACCATAGTTGGTTTGGGTGCGATGTTGGTCTTAATTTTCATTTAAGTGATCTTAAAAAGGTCTTAAAAAAGTCTTAAATTTGGGGTAATCAAACCTGGGGATACCCTGGTTTGTGATGCGGTTGCAGATGAAAAAATAGCCCGTTTGTGTGCATCTACTGAACATGTGAACGCAGACTAAAAATACCCATGACATTACAAATATATTACAAGACTTAGCTCATTATTAACATCAGCAGTAGAATGAATGAAATGTCACGATTTCTAATACATTATGTTTCATTTTGATTCCATTTCATTTTGTCTTATTAAAAACACTTAAAATGGCTTTCAGTATTCATTTACTGAACATATTCATTGCAATTTAACACAAAAAATATAAGGGATGTAACAATAACGGAAATATCGTGATATTGTATCGTCAAAGTTCTCACAATAATATCATGGACCATCACAATGTATGGAATTACAAGCCTTTTTGCTTAAATTAAAAGTTATGGTGTAGTAATAGCTAAAAAAAAGACAGAGGGAACTACATAGACCATGATCCTTTGCTCCATTTCAGTGCAGACAGTTCTAAGCACTTTTAAGTCTTAGTTCTTTCGATTAAGTCTTGTCAAGGCATTTTAAGAAGAAAAAGTCGCATATTAACAGTTTTGTTAGCCTCCACAAAATATTGCAATAAATATTGTACTGTGAGATGTATATCGTGAAAATATCGTACAGAGAGATTTGGATATTGTTACTTCCCTAATCATGAGCCTCCCCACCATATGAGCTTTCCCACGATATCGCACTAAATATCGTACTGTGACAATATCGTATCGTGAGACTTGGATATCATTACACCCCTAAAAAATATGAAAATTCTTCCTCTAAAACTGGAACTCCAAAAAATATACCCCTGACAATTAAAAAATCTAATAAAATGACATTCTTAAGAGTTAAAATGGAAGAAACAGCCTGATTTTTTAAAAAGTAGTTAACACGTAAGCATACTTTTTGTTATATACAGTATATTTTTACTTCTTTTGATTCTGACGTGTAAAAACAATAATCGCCAAGCTAAATAACCTGAGTTCTTGTAGGCCTCCTCGGCTCAGCCTCCCTGTTTAGACAATACTGCTCTGTACCATATGCTGTTGGTTTTATTGACATGTTGATGCTAATTCCCCTGAGAACTGCCTTGTCTTAACTGCTCCCAATTAGCCTTTATTAGTGACTGAGAGACGGGCTTAAACATATGACGGGTTGTGACACATCTAATTACTACAGTTTATTTCTGTGTGTGAACATGGAGCTTGGCATATCACGTACTTGTCAGATAGGAGTTGACTTGCCATACACCCATTTATGTCTTTTAAATAAACAGCAAAACACAGCTGTGAGGTTAGAAGAAAAGTCAGTTCTTATTTATCTGGTTTGATTTAATTGTCTAAATACATAATCAAACAGCATAATAAGTGAAAAATGTACACAGATCACTCCTTTTCTTACCCAATTTGTCCCTGTGTTGTGAGTCAAATATGTTGTAACTACCTGAAAACAATAAAACAGTTGCTTTTAACATAGTTTGCAGTGATCCAAAGTTATGCTTCATCACCTAATGCTTCACTACACACAATCTGTTTTTTAATGATATAGCTGTACTGAGGCAAAACACATTTTACAAGAACAAAAAAATAGGCCTACTCCTCTTTTATTTTATTTTCCCAAGAATATGTTTAATACAGTCAAATATTTTTATGTTTTTGTCCATCTTTGGGTCAATCATTAGAATTAGAACCACTGCAGTTATGGTGTAATCTTATTTTAGTCCACATTTTACCCCCATTTAAACCTGATTTGGGCCTGGTTTAGAAGTTGTGGTATTCAGAAGGCCAGACACTTTTTTCTGAAGTAGTACTTGGTATGAAAAGTTTAAGAGTCAATGTCCTAATTATATATATATATATATATATATATATATATATATATATATATATATATATATATATATATATATATATATATATATATATATATATATATATATATATATATATATATATAATATATATATATATATATATATCCTCTATGAATACAGCAACATGAACTGTATATGTAAATAGTGTGTGGATGTGGTAATTTAGATTCACTGGAAATTATTGGGCTGTGCACGAGTGAGTTTGCGCAATTTGTGTGTTTACATTCCACCACTACATGTGCAACTACACAGAAGGCTCAGCTCTGTAATGTTCACAAGGAAACTCATCCGTGTTTGGGGTGACAGTGTTTCCTGCAGCGCTTTATAGTTAGGGCGGTCACCTTGACAACAATTGCCCCCCACCATGACTTCGTACCTCCAAACCATATGAATTCTCACAAAACTACGGTTGTCTCGCCGCAGTTCTCACTTTCACCTTTCACTGGCATGGAATTTATTGTTTACAAGGAATTAATTTTTTATAATATTTCATACATTTGTTGCGTATTTGAGAATATTTATTTAACTTATTAGTATTACCAAGCAGCACTTTGCATTTATTTTATTTTCCCATTAATGTTAAGACAAATTGTTGGTTTAATAAAAACACAAATAAACAACAAGCAAATGGTTTTGCATTTTGTTCCCATACTGTACTGAAAATGAACTGAACCGTGACCTCAAGACCGAGGTACGTAACCGTGATTTATGTGTACCTTTACACCCCTAATACATTGTATTTTACTGACATGTACACCATTTATGAACCTAACCAGAGACTGAATTCTCTAGACAGGTTCTGATAAACTGATTCACCAATTTGCTGTAACCTTGCACTAACATATTATTTCTTTGTGTAGGTCAGTGTTGTTATGTGCATTGTCCCTGATAATAAACAAATAAACTAAACCAAACCAAACTAAACTAAATTTGCTTGTGTCTCCAGGCTGGGACCCCTGTGGAGAACGCAGCTGCCTACAAGAACCTGTCATTTGAGGAGGTGGTCCAGGAGCTGATCAAACAGAAGGAGATAGTGAAGAAGAAGGACGCCCATATAAGGGAGCTGGAGGATTACATCGACGACCTGCTGGTCCGCGTCATGGAGGAGACACCCAGCATTCTGCGCACGCCATACGAGGTCAAGAAAAAAGCAGGCAAATTTGGCAAAAAATGAAACTAAAGACGGGAGATATGACTTGATAAAAGAATCTTACACAGTGGGTTGAATGGGAGCAAATGGGACTTCTGGACGCCAAATGTAGTTGAGTTTTTATGAGTGAATGTAGGTTTTATAGACTTTTGAATGCTTTTAATGAATGAAAAGTTGTGGCTTATACGGCACAAATGTCATTCCTTAAATTCCAGTTTTGTTGCTTCAAATATTTTCGGTTGTTTTAAGGTACTAAACTTTACAAATTAAGTTTTACAAAATTCTCCTGTAAGCGCAACAATTACGGTACAAGCACTAGTTGTGCAGGGGTGTAAAAGGTGTAAAAAAAAAATCAAAGTTTTTTTTTCCTTTACAATTTTTGGAGACATTTTGAAAACTTTTTATTATTTATTTCAAGTTAAAAGTGCTGTACCTGATTTTTCCAGACTTTTTCCAACATAACAAGTTAATTTTTAAGAGTTTGCAACATTCCAGATTTATTTCTCACTTCCACATTTTAATTATTTACATTTATAAGCTCTTTTCTCAACTTTAACAAACCAGAGCAGAGTTTTGCTTTCACTTTGAAACTAACAAGAACAATATTTCTAATTAAATGCAAGCAAAAGACTTATTTTGATCTGAAGAGCTGCTTTTTTTCTCAAATACATGGAAAAAAATCAGGTACAGGGCCTTTAAGTTTGACATTATGCACCTGTAAACTCTATCAACATCTTTATTACATTTCCATTTGCAGCTAACGTACAAGATAAGCAAACTTTTTAACACTATTGCTACACAAATTTCTATGGTACTGAAGAAAACTTTGAAGATTTTCAAGCCAAAATGCCTATGTTTAAAGAACTTGCTTTAGTGAAGCTGTATTTCGTTTACCAATGTAGATTTTGAAGTTAATATTTGATTTGGTTTACGCTGACGTCTTAAATGAGGCCGTGGTCCTCCCTGCTGCAGATGCGCTGAACTCTCCCCCTTTGCCCCAAATGAATCACTTTAGGTATGTCTATTACAGGAAACAGGGCTATAGAAGGATATCACCACAGCATCTGGTGTGTCTCAACTTTCATAAAGAAGAGGACATTTCTACCACTGGAATCATGTTATTTATGGCCCACTCTCACGTTAAGTGCAATAAGCGCGTTCCTTTATAAACTGGTGGTAATAGTATTGTTTACATTTTAATTATGTGGTAGATTTACTCTCAAACCCGGGAGTGTGTGTTGCTGCGTGCAGATTGAACGACCTTCCTTGTCTATAGATGTTTATATGTACAATGCTGCACTTGGAGACTTTTGCAGAACAATCTTTTGTGAAGGCATCTCAGTTTAATCATGTGTTTATACGCTGGTGGAACACTGGACCCTACTGCTCGCTACTTTCTACTTTTAAAGCCACAAACAGCTTAGGGTTATTCCATTAATATAATTTAGTATGCTATTTTTTTCACTTTTTTATTTATCATATTTAATGAATGCCCAGTTGCTTTTTACTTATCTTAAAAAAAAAAGCGTATTTGTGAATGTTAAATCTGCCAAACTGAAGGTAAAATTGGCAAACAGAAACCATTTAAGATTATAATTTTATTTAATAATTTAGAAATGTAGTATTTGCATGAACATTTAAAAATTCATGTTGTAATTCATGTTGCCTAATGATTGTACAGCTCTCTGCCACATGTAAAACTTACCGTATTTTCCGCACCATAAGCGCGCTCATAAGCTTCCAAACTCATCAAAAAAGACTGCGCGTCCCACAATCCAAAGCGCACTATACACGAATCCACTCGGGTGTCCCAGCACGACTTCAGTAAACTACAAAGCCGCACCACCCGCAATGCACGCAAACACGCACGGAGCAAACAGCGACTGCACAACGAAAAACACCCGGAACCACACTCATCACTCCATGCCGACAAGGAATGGAATGGAGGAACGAACCAAAAAAGTGAGCGCAATGTGCCACTTCTAGACACAACTGAACAACTGAGTCACTGCGAAGACGCCAACAATCCAGAGGTCCCAGACAGCACCCTCCCTACACGCCACAACTGAACAAAGCCCAGAGTCACCGTGAACGCCACAAACAAAGTCCCACTGACCCATCCAACTGTTGGGTTTCGTTTAAAGTCCGGTGTGGTTTATTTGTGAAAAAAAGTTTGAAAATAGACCATTCAATGACAGTGCGCCTTATAATCCAGAGCACCCTATAGTGCGGAAAATATGGTAAAATGTACTTAAGTATTCACTGTATGGATGTGTGATATTATTGAATTTCTTTTCTCAAAAATGTAAATTTGAGCTCAATCATGAGAGAAAATGAGTCGCATTCAGAATTTCAATGCTGTCACACACTCCTAATTCACTTGTGTAGAAAGGCAGTTTTGCATAGCGTCATAGGTTTACACTGATCCTGTATTTAGCAGCTTCATGCTCAGTGTTAAAATGTGCTTTGTACAAACAGTGATCTTGCACTCGATGTTTTCACTGTTTAATATTATTCACTGCGTTTCTGCCTGTTACCGGGGTTCGTTTGTCGTTATTCAAATGGACTTAAATGTGTTTCCCATTGTTTAGAGGGGCCTTTACTACGGAAGCCGAGAGATGTCACAACAAACGCAAACGCCGCAACAAATACAAATGCGACAACACAACAAAAAGCCACAACACACCAAAAAAAGCCACAACGGAAATGACCATGGGACTCTATTTTAATACAAACGCTGCAACAAAAGCAAATGCCGCAACACATTAAAAAGCCGCAAAACATTAAAAAGCCGCAACACATTAAAAAGCCACAACAGAAGTGACCGCGGGACTCTATTTTCCGACGGACCAATCAAGCGGCAAGTGAAGAAGAAGAACTACAACGTGAAAAGCAAAGGAACGGAGAAGTTGGAAACGTAAGTAAAAGTAATGTATTGTTTTATTATTATTATTCTTCACTTGCTGCTTGATCGGTCCGTCGAAAAATAGAGTCCCACAGTCACTTCCGTTGTGGCTTTTTGATGTGTTGTGGCTTTTTAATATGTTGCGGCATTTGCATTTGGGTTGTGGCGTTTGGTATTTGTGGCGGCGTTTGCATTAAAATAGAGTCCCGTGGTCATTTTCGTTGTGGCTTTTTTTGGTGTGTTGTGGCTTTTTTTTTTGTTGTGGCTTTTTGTTGTGTTGTCACATTTGTATTTGTTGTGGAGGTTGCGTTTGTTGTGACCCCTCTCGGCTTCCGTACTTTACACTGTACTGCACCAAATCACTACTTATTTACTGTATACTATGTCTTAATAATTTAAATGTATGAATGTTTCTCTTTTTAGAACATTTTTAAAGCTGGAAATCGCTCAAATGAAGGTTCAACTTGGGACATTTGGGCCAAAAAATTCTGAATGTATTTTTTGGCTGTTTGAATTTTTGTTCCCCTAAACCTTATTTGCCTTTCAAGTTGGTTCTTCCAAAGAAATTATATTGATCCTTTGTAACAACTTTATTACAAGTCCTCAATATTTTCCACGTTGTCTGCCTACATTTTAAGCAAAAACATTTTTATTGTGACTCTTTTGCAGGTTTATGAAAATGATCTGTTTTTCATTTCACTCACACTGCCTTCAAAAGTGTAAACTAACTTCTCACATTGCTTTCTAATTAAGGAATGCTGGACAAAAGTTGTACAGTTTTGAAGAAAAAAAAACTTTTCTTGTGGAGGATCCTCTTTAATTTATTTTATCCATCTTGTATTTATTCAGTTGCAGGTGTTTCTGTTGCTGAAATACTTATCTGTTAAACATTCCCAGCAAAGCAATAATAATAATAATCACCGTGGAAACAAGAAACAGGCAGATCCTCCACCACAAAAGTTACATAATCCAACTTTTACAGTAAAAAGTTCTCATTTAAATAAGTATAAAAGTACAAACTATCTACAACACAACTTAATCCAACTTTCATAATCTAAAACATACTTATTTCCCATAGACTGTGTATAAAAGTGGACATAGCTAACCTGCTGGCTGCTATTTTCCAAGAAGGAAGTGAGCATGGGTTCACTTCCGGGTCCACCAACCCTGGCTCGAGTTCACTTTGTATTGAAAAAAACTTCACCCCTCTTTCCATAACAGTCAGCCTTGTAATTTCAGTCTTAAAATGTTTGTATTAACCTGCTACACATGATCCTGGTGTTTTTATTTTGCTGTGTCATTCATAAAGCAATTCCTAATATAGCCAGTCTGGCACCACCTAGTGCCTCCGCTCAGGTTCATTTCTCTCCAGCGACTAGGTCAGGAATCGGAATACACGAGACTGCTCGCAAAAACCCCAAGTTCGGGCATCAGCCAATCAGCGAAGAGTCATATATTCAGTGTTGTCAACAATTCCCGAGATTGAGGATTTAAAGCCAGAACAAAGAGAATGTTTGGTGAATTTCATCAAGGGGAAAGACATTATTGTCCTTCCTACGGGATTTGGGAAAAGCTTAATATACCAGTTTGGCCTGTTAGCGGTGCGTTACATACATCACGACCAAATAGCAGCGATTGGGTCAATGATAAAAAGTATCCGCCTACTGTCGAGCAAACGAAATCTAAAGCTGCAAGGTCAGACAGTTTGTACGAAGTGAAACGAAGTAAAACCGGCCGATGAATCGGGCTAGTCCTAAAATGAATGTTAGCTCCAAATTTGCCCCTATAACTGCCAGCCCTGATGAGCTTCATTTGACTGGATCTGAACACTATGAATCCTCTTCTTTATACAGTCTATGGTATTTCCTTATGCACAATTTAACACTTTGAAACCAACCAAAACATGTCGTTGCTTCAAAATAATGTATGTAATTACTAGTAGTATATACGCAAGTTACTACATTTTTGTAATACTTTCTTTACTTCACTTCACTTTCATTGTAATTATTGTACAGACACTTTGTAAACTCACTTTAAAAGCAGCTTAACTTGAAACGCAAAAGTTCATTTAAACACCACAAACGTCCAAAAACAAGTATTTTAATTGGCTTCAAACACCAACCTAGAGATTTACTGCTGGTATTTTGCCCTCAACAAACTATGTAGAAAATGATTTAAAGTTGTGACCATTGAGCTGCTGTGATTGTACACCTGCTTCCTATTGAAATGAATGAATTATGAGCTACTGATAACGCCTCAAAATGTACGTTGAATAACAGCGTGCCCAGAACAGAACAACATTCAAATTAATCATCTCATTTACTTTTATTACTATATTTGCTTTATATGCTTTTAATTTATTTCCAGCCTATTTCCTATTAAGAATTTTCTAATCGTTTGACTGTAGCAGGTTGGAAAATGTGTAATTATTTTGAAACATTTGCATAATTTAATTCACACTAATTTATGGTCGTCTTTATGTTCGCTATATGCTCTGATTAACATGAATTGTATTTGATTTCTTGGTTATAACACTGTCTATAGGGTTGTACTACTGTTATATATTCTACATTGCTTGAAGCTTACTGGAATTTTCAACTTTTGACGTTTTTATTGCAGAATTTTAAGGAGCTAGACACAAACTTGTTGCTTCAGTCTTCCTGTGTGTTACTGATAATATTGTATGTCTACCTTTATTATGAATTTGGCATGTATTTTAATGTCAGTTCTTTGTAATCAAGCCCTACAGTTGCGCTATGTAACTTTTCTACCATCTGGCTCATGCTTGTTTCTGTTCTGCAGTATGGCATTAAACATGTACCGTATTTTTTGGACTGTAAGTCGCTCCGGAGTATAAGTCGCACCAGCCAAAAAATGCGTAATGAAGAAGGAAGAAACATATATAAGTCACACTTTTTGGGGAAATTTATTTTATAAAATCAGAGACCAGGAACCAACATTTCATCAAGTTCTAGTAAAAACAATAGAACAAAGAACAACAGACTGTTAACGTCACATATGAACAGTTCTTCAGATTAAACTATAGCATAAACAACAGAACAGAACAAGTTTACCAAACTCTCCATCTCACTCCAAATCACTAAATCCATTGAATTCTTCATTATCTACGTCACTTCTGAGCAACTCCACGACCTCCGGAGGTAAAAGAAGCGCCACTTCCTCTTCTGTGTCGCTGTCGTCAGACTCAGCATCAGTTCCAGTTAGAATTATTCTGGCCTTTCTGAATCCCGACTGGATGGTTTTGGTTTTCCTGAAGTCACTTAACCTCATGCTTTCCTTGGGGTCATATAGACCCGAAGAAACATATTTTAAATTTTTTTCTCGCCAGGCAAGAAAATACATTTTTGGGTCTGATTGACCCAGGAAGGAAAAAAAAAAAGTTTCTTCGGGTCTATGTGACCCCAAGGAGAGCGTGAGGGTTAAATTTTACATTTTCAGTAAAAAAAGTAATGGTGCAATCGACTGACATGATACAGACAGGACAGAGGCTCTTTATGCAGGAGACATGCACAGTAGAGTGAAGTGACAGTGGTACAGGAGTAATAGTAATAGTCGTAGCAGGTGCTGACAGATAAGCCTATAAAAATTTTGATATATAAGTAGTCGCAGTATAAGTCGCAGGACCACCCAAACCATAAAAAAAAGTGCGACTTACAGTCCATAAAAATACGTTATATGTTGCATTTATTCAATTACACATGTTGTGTTGCTTAAAATGCCATCCAAAATATATTACAGTGCGCAGAGTCTGACAGATCTGATCTGTAACTTGTTTAATGCCATACTGTGAAACATTCCAAGCCACGCAATAACGTATCCATGGAAACGGTGGAACCCTACACCTGACGAGTTACATCATGCGCGTTTTGCTGTCTTGTTTTTGAAGAAAGCGAGGCAAGCGTTTGACCTTTCAACTTTTTCTACCAACTTGTTCGCTGAGATATTTGTTAGAAAAATGACAAACTATTCAAATGAAGATGAAGCACTAGCAAAAACTGAACTGACTTGATGATTTATTTTTTGATTTAATTATTCCATTTGCTTAATGTACAGTATAAGAAAGGACTTTTTACCACAATATACTGAACTCTCGGAACAGACCCATTTTAACTATATTTTTCTGTTGGACCAAAGATCACACATTTTTTCTTTTGTAATTTTTAGACCAACTACCATTTCTTTCATGGTCCTGAATCTTAATCATTCTGAATGTGTTGACAATGCTGTTTGAACTACTACATTTGAAGGTGCCCATATGCAAGATCTGAATGTTTGCTTGGACTTTTTGGGGTTGGAGGGCCTTTTGACACTTGTACACTGTAGCTTCTTTATGCTGGAAAACTGTGTGATAAAATGTGCCAATGAACGCAGCAAGAATTTAGCCTAGAGATTTTACTCACTTCATTTTATTGTGTATCACTGGAGAACAGATGCAATCGGTTGTATTGGACTTTTCAATAAACCCACTTGAATGAAAATGGTTGGATTCTTTTTAATATTAAACACATTTTTTGAGGGAATGGATACCCGGCACATTGATAACAAATATAAGACTAACACACACAAAAACAAACAAGCAAACAATAACAAAAGAGCAGTAAGTAAATAAAAAGAAGAGACGAAGAAAGAAAAGAATCGAAGAAGACACTTAAGGGTGCATTGTGTAACTTTTCTTCTTCTCTTCGTCTGTCAAATGATTTTCTCCATAGAGATGTTATTGATTTGTCTAGAATGTTCCACAGTATGGCATTAGGGCTGCTTGATTATGGAAAAAAAAAAAAAAACACACGATTATTTTGGTCAATATTGAAATCACGATTACTCAAATGATTACTTTTTAGTTGCACGATTTATTTATTCAGCATTTCTCTTTCAAAAAAAAAAAAAAAAAAAAGACTTATTGTGTTTAGAGGGGCCTTTACACTGTCACATTTTTTTTACTTTTAAAAAAATATATATTTTTAAAGCTGCAAATCGCTCAAATGAAGGTTCAAACACTGTTATTGTTAATTTATGCAAAACTTTCAAATTGATGTAGCTTAGAGCAGTTTTGTGATGTAAAATGAATAAAATACACTTTGAACATGAAATAAGGCCTAGAAAAACATAAATGTATCCAAAATAAACTATATATTCAGCTGTTCTACAATCTCTACATTTAAAAAATAAAATAAATGTAATAAAAAAAGAAAAAATCCTCAAATTGTTTCCACTCAATTTTATGAGTTTGGAGATTGTTTGACACACAAATCGAAATCGCGATCAAAATTCAATTAATTGCACAGCCTTACATTTACATTAAACCTTTATCTTCATGGAAACCAAACCAGACCAAGTTACAGGGTCAGATCTGTGGAAAGGCGACCCCGCTCAAAGTCTGAACATCTGTATTTCTAGGCGTTTTTGAGCTTTAAAACTGCCCGTAGTTGAATACAATCCAACTTTATTTGTATAGCACATTTTACAAACAAAACAGTTTCCAAAGTGGTTCACATATGCAACATTTTACTTTAAAAAGAAAAAAATTAAAATAAAAAATCTGCAGAATTATGTTTAATAAAGACACTAATAAAAAAATAAATCAAATAATA